GGGAGAGAGAGAGAGAGAGAGAGAGAGAGAGAGAGAGAGAGAGAGAGAGAGAGAGAGAGAGAGAGAGAGAGAGAGATATATCTTTGGATCTCGGCAAGAAGACGAGTCACAGACAGATGTAGCACAATGGAACAAATTATCAACTCGTAACTTTGGATGTTACTGACGTCATAGCACCTACATTAGTGAGGGACACATAAACATGCGACATTAACATAGCATTTATGCGCATTAACAATCTGTTAACAATGAATAGTCGTACCGATTATTCGCCACAATTAAAAATAAAATGATTACAATAAAATCATCGCTGTGTTCACTGCCTGAAATCATACTGAACATACAGTACTTGAACAACGATCGCACGGCGATGACCGTAGGAAAGCAAACCTCCGGATCCCGCACTAGGACTCGGAACTTGAAACACGTTGAATAAACTCAAATCGACAAAAGCTGCAACGAATGTCGAAAGCGTCCCAACAAAACGCTCATGTCTCATATCTGGTAAATGATTACGCTTCTGACTTCAGTTACATCACTATATAAGTCAGTCGGTTCGTTTCTGTTATTATAATAAGTTGAAAGAGCAGTCCCGACCATCACGAGCCTTCTCTATCAGCAGCAACCGTGTCTCCGGATAAACTTTTAAGATAAGCAGTTCAGCATGACCCTCACCGCATTCATGAGAAAGAGCATTCCAATAAATGCACACTTCGTTTACCAACATTTTCTCGTCACCGATTCGATCTTTCAAGAGCAAACATGTGCGGTGTTGGGTTTGGTTTTTTACCTGGGACAGTCGAGAGGATTTTCAAAGCCGCTCCATTTTGCCTGAGGGAAAGCTGAGGGCAGTTCATCTAAATGTCACTGGAACTCCAGCTCCACGGGCCTTTAGATCGTTATTTATTTTACAAAGATAGAGCTGTTAGAAAGGATCATCGGCGTGTATGTATTGCCTTTCACTTGGAACAAGGATGTTATCAACTAAAATGAAATGGATATCTGGTGAAGCATTCTGTTCAAGTTCGACGAAAACGCTAAAAGCA